GACTGGATAGGCCATTGGCCTAATCCAACATTGGCTTCTCTTGTGTTCTTATAGGAACTCTCGGTCTGGGGCAAGGGATGCTATGTATTCTTGGTGCTTGGGGGAGAGCAACAGTGGGAGGGCTCCTAGTGTCCTGCCCCCACTGCTGGACCTCCTGATGGCACCTGGTATTTTTGGCCACTGTGTGACAGAGTGTTAGACTGGATGGGCCACTGGCCTGATGCAACACATTGGCTTCTTTTATCTTCAGTCTCCTCGTTATTATGTTTGAGACAGGACACTGGGCTAGTTGGACTGTTGGGGCGATTTCTCACTAGAGCTGCCTCGCTGCGCAGCGCCGTTTGCCCCAACACAAACATGTCAATTTCACACCCGAGGCTGCGGGGCTGCATTTGACCCGTGGCTTCTCCCAGCACCATTTGCCCCAACACAAACATGTCAATTTCACACCCGAAGCTCCAGGGCTGCATTTTGACTCGGGGCTTCTCCCGATTTCCTCCGCAGTTTCATGATCCTCAAAAACCAGGATCACGAAACTGCGGAGGAAATCGGGCGAAGCCTCGAATCAAAATGCAGCCCCTGAGCTTTGGGTGTGAAATGTACATGTTTGTGTCAGGGCAAACGGCGGCTGTGCTGCGAGGCAGCTCTAGTGAGAAATCGCCCTCGGTCTGATCCAGCAGGGCTCTTCTTATGTTCTTAATTTGGATTTTCATGGTGTGGCATTTACTTTCTTTAAAAAAAATAATAATGTGTGCTGCTGTTCCTTGGCTGGTTCTGGCTCTTGAGTGTTGGTTTGTTGGTTTGTTTTCCAGATGCCAAAGAGAACCCCTACGGGGAGGATGACAACAAGAGCCCCTTTCCCTTGCAGCCCAAGAACAAGCGCAGCTACGCACAGAACGTCACCGTGTGGATTAAACCCAATGGCCTCCAGGTGAGTTTTAAAGCAGTCCTACGAGCCTGGCTCTCTTCCAGGAAATGTTCCCTTCTAAGCTTGTGAGCAAAAATTCTGCTTTGTGAGCTACCGTCAGTAAAGTTGTGAGCGAGCCATTTGGCTACATCCTTCCTGAGCTAAGACAAAAATGTGTGAGCCGGAGGCTAAAAAACTGTGAGCTAGCTCACACTAACTCAGCTTAGAGGGAATACTGGTCACAGCTGTGATCTGGGGAAACGTGGGCTTCTTCTGAAGTTTCTCCAAGGCTCGGTGTGTGTGTGTGTGGGGGGAATCCACTTCCTGGAAGGAAAGAAAAGAGAAGAGATTGGATTTATACCCCAGCCTTCACTTGGCGTCTCAAAGTGGCTTGCAGCCTCCTTCCCTTCCTCTCCCCACAACTGTGAGGTTCGGGGGGGTGAGAGAGCTCTTTTGAGGACTGCTCTTGAGAGAACAGCTCTGAGAGAACTTGTAACTGTCCCAAGGTCACCCAGCTGGCTGCATGTGGAGGAGTGGGGAATCAAACTTGGTTCTCCCTGATTAGAGTCTGCAGACTTAACCACTGCACCCAACCGGAAAGACCAGTGGTTCACCGGTCATCCCCCTTCCCTGCTCGTATGCCTGTGGAAAAGAGGCTGTGATGCCAGCGTGGCACAGAGCCAGGGCAAGCACTTTGCATTGACGGACTGTGCAGCCGGGAACAGGGTCCCCAACCTTTTTGAACCTGCTGGCTCCTGTGGAATTTGGACACAGTGTGGTTGGTGCAGCCCCAATATGGCTTCCGCAGGAGGCGGAACCAGCCACCAAATGGCTGCTGTAACTCATCTTCCGTCACACCGTGAAGATCCTTTGTGCTGAGGTGGCGGTTGCCAGTAGAGAGCCAGTTTGGTGTCCTGGTTAGGAGCGTGGACCTAAATCTGAGAGAACCGGGTTTGATCCCGCTGTCTGTTTCATTGTTGGCTGTGCGATCGCACCAGCATTGCGGTGGGTCAGAACCCTTCTGTGCCATCGGTGTTGAGTGAGATTCCCCTTTTTAAGGGACAAGTCTGGGTGCAAGATAGTGGCCATTGTATTGATATGGATAATTGGGCAAAAATCTGGAAAGTGATAAAATTCACTAGAGTTGTCACGTATAAGGAAAATATATACAAAATGTTCTACAGGTGGCACTCGTCTTCCAGAGAAATTAGGTCAATGTTATCCAGACTTATGGAATAATTCTTGGAAACGTAAGCAAAATGTGGGGACATACTATCATATGTGGTGGACATGCGGCAGAATTAAAAAGTACTGGTTGGGGATTCAAAGGATATTACAAGAATTATTAGGGATTACTTTTGGAACCAGAAATATTTTTATTGAATCTTATTCCAGATGATTATAACAAACTAGATGTATGTATGATAGTATACGTTACAACGATGGCTAGAATTTTGATTGCTAAACATTGAAAATCTGATATAATTCCATCGAGGGAAGAACTAGTTCAGACACTGTTTGAAATGGCGGAAATGGATAGACGAACTTATTTGTTAACAAGGCAAAGATGAAGAAGCACATGAAGAACTTTGGTCAAGATTGATAAATGTATTAAGTATCAGTCAGTTCAGTTTATTCGGCATATCACCAGCCCAATTATAAACAATACAAAAGGGTACCAATAATATATATAAAATATTTAAAATGTATTAAGTATATTAAATAGGTAATTCAGCTGATGTTTATTTTTAGAGAAAATTTAAGACTCTTTTGCACAAGGTTTATTGTAAGCGAATTTCTGTGTTGTAATTATAAAAGTTATATATATATATGTATATGTATATATATATGTATATATGTATGTATATGTATATGTATATATATGTGTGTGTGTATAATATATATATATATAGTTTGTGCTCATCCAGGAGGTTTCCTCCATGTCCTTTAGCAAAGTGTATAATCTCAGGCCTCCAGTTATAAAAGGAAGATTGAGCTTCCAGGGGTGTGGACGGATCCCGGCATACATGTTTGCCTTCTGTTGTGTTTGTGTGTTAGCACGATCCAGGCTGCCGGGGCGGGATGCTTAAGGGGTTTTTAAAAACCCTAAGACGATGCAGTGTAAAAGTTTGGAAGTTCGCTCATTTCTTCATCCACTTGGGTCCCATAACCGGGAGGGCAGTTTTAAGTGCTGATGACCCACGAGGATTTTTCTCTCCCTTCCTTTATAGACAGACGTACAGAAGATCCTCAGGAACGCACGGAAACTCCCGGAAAAGACACAGACCTTCTACAAGGTGAGGCGCAATGGGCTCTCGTGTCCCTCCCAAGCTGCCAGTAGCTGTCTTCTTCTTGAGACAGTAGAAAAGAGCAAGAGTCCAGGAGCACCGTAATTGTTGTTGTTCAGTCGCACAGTCGAGATGGACTCTTCATGACCCCGTGGACCACATCACGCCGGGCCCTCCTGTCTTCCGTCGTGCTCTGGAGTTTGCTCTATTTCATGTTTGTTGCCTCGATAACACTGTCTAACCATCTCATCCTTTGCCGTCCCCGTCTTCTTTGACCTTCAATCTTTCCCAGCATCAAGGTCTTCTCCAGTGAGTGCTCCCTTCTCATTTGGTGGTGGCCAAAGTATTTGAGCTTCAGTTTCATTATCTGGCCTTCCAGGGAACAGTCAGGGTTGATTTCTTTTAGGATTGACTGATTTGATCTCCTTGCAGTCCCAGGGACTCTCAAGAGTCGTCAATTCAAATGCATCTGTTCTTTGGCGCTTGGCTTTCCTTATGGCCCAACTGCTCACTGCTTCAGATACCTCACGAAACTTCTGTAGTGACTCACGAAGGCCCATCCCCTGCCACAAATTGTATTAGTCTTTAAGGTGCTCCTGGCCTCTCGCTCTTTTCTAGCCCTAAAAAAGGATACGTGACTCTTATCCAGGTGTCATTTTGTAGAAAAAGAGGTGCAGGAGCTCATTAGCATAACTTATTACCATAACTTATTTGTATATGCCACACCCCCTGACATAACCAGAAGTGTGTCAGAAGGCAACACCCAAAGCTCAGGCTCCACTGGACTGTTCTAGATTGCTAGCTATGGGGGGGGGGGACGACGTGCAAATCTGTCCTCATAGAGGAGGGAGAGTTTGTACCTGAATAAAACTTGGTCTTAAAGGTGCCACTGGACTGTTTTGGGCCGGAGGAGCTCTGCAATCTACCTGGCTGCTTCTTGGTCTGACTGAGGGCTGCTGGGAGCAGGGGGTGGGGCTTGTTGTATGTGCCCGCCCCCTGGGCTCTTTACTGCCGGAGCTCCACTCCTGCAGGAAATGACCCCTGCTCTTATCTCGTCCTAAAAAGACTGCATGGCCCATGAAAGCGCCTCCCCTGCCACAAATTTTGTTAGTCTTTAAGGTGCTCCTGGACTCTTGCTCTTTTCTACTCCTACAGACAGGCTTACAGGGCGACCCATCTTGATCTATCTCCTCCTTGAGAGGCAGTGTTTTTGTGTGTGGCCAAGTTACACTCAGGAAGTATATAATAATATAAAATATGTGACCAAGTTGACGGAATGGGTATGAGAAGCAGTGCCCCAGAGCATTGAGAAGTGGCCAGGGAAAGGGAAGGCTTGGGGGTCATCCCAGTTTTATTTGGGGGGGGGGGACTTGCCCCGCTTTGATCTGTTCCCTCCCCCTCACCAGTGCTCCCTCTAAGCCGTGGAGTCTTGTGAGCAAAAATTCTTCTTTGTGAGCGACTGCCACAAAAGTTGTGAGTCTGCTCCGGAGCCCTCCCTTCCTGAGCTAAGGCAACAAAGGTGTGAGCCGGAGGCTAAAAAACCGAGCTAGCTCACACTGACTCAGCTTGGAGGGAACAGTGCGGGCCCCCCTTTGCCCTTTTCTGCAGCAGCGACGCTGTCCCACTCCTTTTCATTGATAGGGGCCTCCCCTTGTCTCCCTAGGAACTGAACCTTGAACCGCTTACGAAAGGCTGCCTTGGCATTTGGGTTTCTGGACCTTCTCAAAGGCGTGGCCGATATCCTCGAAAGAGAGTGCACCCTGCTGCCAGACACGGCCCACCCTGACGCCGCCTTCCAGCTGACCCATGCAGCCCAGCAGCTCAAGCTGGCCAGCACGGGCACCTCCAACCACGCAACCTTCGACCACAACATCACCCCGCTGCAGACGGACTTCTCCAGCAGCGGGACAGACCGGCTGTGAGGCCCAAGAGCTCCGGCCGGCCCCCTAACTGCGCTGGGGGGGTCTCTTCCCTGTTCTCCTGTCTCCGAACAGTGAGAGTGGACTTCTGTTTTATTATTAAATGTGTTCTGTTTGTATCTCCCCTCCTCTCTTTCGCATCAGAGGCAACTGTCTTTGTGTGCTACAAAACAGTCTCAAGATCTCACTGGAGGAACACGTGTTCCTTTGAGATGAACTCGAGGCACCGAGGATGGAATCGAGTGATTCTCGGACATCCGTGCACGGTTTGAGGGCCTGGAAACGTGAGCGCCACTCAAAAACCCCTTAATTCAGCCGATAGGCTCCTAAAAGAGGTGTGTGTGTATATTAAATACCATCATGTTGCTTCTAAATTAAGGTGGCTCTATGAATAACGGCCTCCAAGACGTCCTGTAATTGATAGCCTTTTCCAGGTCTTGCAAACCAGAGCCACTTTGGTGTCGTGGTTAAGAGGGCGGGGTCTAATCTGGGAGAACCGGGTTTGATTCCCCACTCCTCCTCCACATGCAGCTGCTGGTGTGACCTCAGGTCAGTCACAAGTTCTCTCAGAGCTGTTCTCTCAAGGGCAGTCCTTGAAAGAGCTCCTTCAGCTCCAGCTACCTCACAGGCAATGCTCCCTCTAAGCTGTGGAGTCTTGTGAGCAAAAAAATCTACTTCGTGAGCTCCTGGCATTAAAGTTGTGAGCGAGCCATTTGGCTGCTGCATAAATCAGTTTGCTCTGGAGCCCTCCTTCCTGAGCTAAGACTAAAATGTGTGAGCCGGAGGCTAAAAAACTGTGAGCTGGCTCACACTAACTCAGCTTAGAGGGAACGCTGCTCACAAGGTGTCTGTTGTGGGGAGGGGAAGGGAAAGGAGACTGTAAGCTGCTCTGAGACTCCTTCGGGTAGTGAAGGGTATAAATCCAGTCTCCTCCTCCTCCAAGCGGAGGGTCGTGGCTTGATTGAGTCGATCCATCTCATGTTTCGTGTTCCTCTTTTGCTGCCCTCTTCAACGTTCCCGGGCATCATTGTCTTTCCCAGTGTCTCGTCCTCTCAGAATGTGACCCAAGTATGACAGCCCCCATTTAGTCGTTTTCACTTCTGGAGAGAGTTCAGTCTTGATTCGATATTGACCCCCCTCCAACTTACGTGTCTTTTGGGCGGTCCGCAGTATCCCCAGCGCTCTCCTCCAGCATCACCAAAGAGGTACAGAGGCCAAAAGGATGTTCTTAAAATCTTTATTAGAAATACATTTGCTTGCCTTCGGAAAGACTAATAAATGCAGATTTGAGAGGCGTCAAGCGCCCGCACCGTGGACTGCAACGTCACAGGTGGGCCTGCCTGGAAGCTCGGACGCTGTGGCCGGAACTGCGGCATGAAGCCAAAGAGGTTTTTCTGCTGGTGCAAGGCGGAGTGATTGCAGCCACATCCCCCTCCCTTCACCGCAGCCCAGCCCGCAAGGCTTTTTCTCCACAATTATTGTGGGGGGGGGGGGGATTGAAAGGAGCTCTTTCCTCTTGCACTAGTGGAAAAACTGATCAGGTCCAACCCTCCTGCTATTGCTAATACTAAGGATGCAATCCCAAGAATATGTTCCTGGCAGGAAGCACCACTGAATAAAACAGGACTTACTTCCAAGAAAGCCTTGCTTAGTAACGTTTCCCTGCGTGTGACAGTCCAGGGCTTTGTGATCGAAAGCCATTTTACTCACCTGGAGCACATGGCTGCGTCACCTCCCGTGACCTTTGTGCCCCGTCTTTCTCATCGCCACCAAAGGAGACAGTAAATTAAACAAAAAATGAAACCCGTGCAAAAATAACGAAAAACATTCAACAGACAATATAATGATATGAACTTATGTAAGTGTAGTTTATCAAAAAAAATATATAATGTATACTATGCAAATCAGTAGCTCAAAAATACAAAATAGCGGAACACAGGGTCCAGACACATAGATAACGTTCAGAAATAGTCCAAGTCAGATTTCTCAAAACAGTGAAAAGTCCAAACATCAATATTTATAATTCCTCCTCGCAAAACTCATCTCACCACTTGTGTATCCACTTGCTGCAGCGAGACGAGTTTTGCGAGGAGGAATTATAAATATTGATGTTTGGACTTTTCACTGTTTTGAGAAATCTGACTTGGACTATTTCTGAACGTTATCTATGTGCCTGGATCCTGTGTTCCGCTATTTTGTATTTTTGAGCTACTGATTTGCACAGTATACATTATATATATTTTTGATAAACTACACCGCTTATGTAAGTTCATATCATTGTATTGTCTGTTGAATGTTTTTTGTTATTTTTGCAAGGGTTTCATTTTTTGTTTAATTCACTCCCTACCGAGGAAGACGGGGCAAGAAGATCAGCGTCTCCCACAAAAGCAAGAATCTTGCTTAACGATGCCTCCTCCGGTAAAGTAGTACGCACAACCCTGATACAGATCCGTGCTAGGTGGAACAGTGTTAATGCTTTTAAGCCCCCTCATGCGTTCAGTAGTGGACACCCTAACCCCCCCCCCATCTAAAACCTGACCCCCCCCCCCCCCGCTTTGTAGTGCTAGTAATGGGAGGGGGGGTAGATTAACAAACACGATTGTCTGCACTTGTGTATTTCCCTTGGAGTGGTGGAGTTCCCTCATTTTTAGGTCTTAATTGCTTTTGGCCCTTTCGAGACTCCATAAAACAATGAGTTCCGGACCTGCTCTTGGATGGGGGAAATCATTTTGGTAAGAAAACCTTCTGGTCTGGGGCTGGGATGCTCTGTATTCGCCGGGGGGTGGGGGGGGGGCAACAGTAGTGTAGCTTCTGGAGTTCTGGCCCTGCTGGTGGACCTCGTGATAGACCCTGGTCTTCGGCTGCTACGTGAGACCGAGGGTTGGATTGGATGGGCCACTGGCCCGAAAGCAAACTGTTCTGAAAGCAAACTGATAGATGGGGTGGCTGTTCAAGTCTTGTCCGTAGCAGCAGAAAAGAGCAAGAGTCCCGTAGCATCTTAAAGACTAACAAAGTTTGTGGCAGGAGAGGCGCTTGTGTGAGCCACTGCTCACTTCTTCAGGTAGGAAGAGTATCTGCCACAAATTTTGTCAGTCTGTAAGGTGTTACTGGACTCTCGCTCCTTTCTACTGAAAGCAAACTGGTGATTGTTTGGGGGGGGGGCGCAAGGAAAGCGGGAGCACCCCAGA